TAGAGAAAATGGGAATTCGCTGGGCCTCTCTCTTATTCCCAGGGGTGCCGGTTCGAATCCGGCTCGTGACGGAAGCCTATCATTTAGAAACCCGCATGGCAAATTCAGTTGTGCGATAGCTCCCATTCGTTATTGTTCTAAGTTTTGCCCGAATAGAGAACGACTCGCACGATAGACGACCCTTTGAGGAGTACTTGGGCATCGAAATCCGACATAGCCATAGACCGAGCTATCAAGTGGTTTTCCTAGTGAGCAGACTCTCTTTGAAGCTCATTGAGAACAAGAGATTGCCTCAGACTTTCCATTCTCTTTCTTTATCTAAATTCCCTCCCCTCGCCCTCAGAAGAAGAGAGCTATGCCAAAACCAAAGGTGCCTACCGCTAGTGCAACTCTTTCTATTCATAGAAATCTTCCTCTCCGGCGGAAGGTGAACTTAGGGATGACTCAGCTGGCTTTAACTATCTTGTGGGAATATGTTAGGAAGGAAGAAAATCTCTCCTCGAAGAGTTGATGGATGGGCAACATACTGCCCCACGATTTCTTTGCCGTATCCCCGTCATCTTCGCTCACATTGATAAGAGCATTATCTAACGTAAGGAGATCTGTATTCACAGGTTCAGATTGCTGAGATCTCAAGCCAGTCAGCGTCTTGCTGCTTTCTCTCGAGAGCGTTATTTGCTTTATTAAAAGAGATATAACAACTCTTTCTCTAAAGCAAGCTCAGTGACCTAGAAAAGGGCAGACAGCATGGAATGAAAGAGCTTTACTTACCGAAGTTTTCTAGATGAATTGAATCATTCCCGAGGTTCTTCTTTCTTCACTAGGAAAGATCTATATCTTACTTGAATAGAAGATATAAGTGACCCACACTTGGGCGACTAGGGAATAAGAATCTCTTTTTCCAACAAACCCGTGCTGTGAGGAAAGCCGCTTGAAAGCAGATTGCTACTGAATTTACTGACTTGCTTGCATGGGTCAGACTTCAGGGAATAATCTTCTGAAGCGCCAAAAAGCCGTGGCACCCTTCGCCCAAGGCTTGAATCAGGAGATTCTTTGCAAGCCTTTTCCCCTATAGAAGATCTCCCTTTTCGAAATGCTGAAAGTTCACTTCACCCAACTCTATACCGAGCTCTTTCTTCCCTGTTTCAGGATCGCTCAGAACAACTGGCTTCTTCACTCGTTGATTCCCAGATCTAAAATGCAAACCGGCTGCTTCGCGCATCTCTAGCCAAAGACCGGCATTCAAGACTTGAAACCTTCACTTCAGCGGTTGTGTGCCCGAAGGTGCCTTTCTTTCCTTCTTGCCCGAGTTAAGCTCACTTGAGCAGTTTCGCGTTTCCTGGTTCGCTTTCTACCTTTGTTTTCGTATTAGAATCTCCTATTTCAACCGTAGTTCATGCCAAGCAAGCTTCATGCTGAAACTATCTTCCGAAGAATGTCCTGCTTCTTCCCCTCTACTGTGCGGGTGCTAAGACTAGTTTTTTAATTTTGAGCGTGGTCATAGGTTTCCAGTTTTCGGAGCTCACTTTGCAGGTCAGAACTATCAGAAGACGAAAGAGAACTTATTCAGACGAATAGTGTGCCGGTGCCCCCAAAAACCCTACATTAGCAGTTCGGGTGGAATCAGACATAAACCAAGTCCAAGAAGACCGAGGAGTCCTTAGCACAAGCACTAAGTAAGAAAGCTACCTTGGGGAGAAGGTAGCGCACTAATTCTATCCTCCTTTCCTGCTACTAGGGAAGCGCGTGCTACTGCTACTACTTTTTCACCTGCTCCGACAGGATTCCTAAGGAAAGCGCTTCTGAGTCGGTCTTGGCATAATTCCGTTGTAAGAAGTCCCCCGGTTCTGGACTAAACAAGTATAGCCAAAAAGAATTCCCTTCGTAAATCGAAATAGAGTGATGTGAAATCTTATTTCGTAGTAACTGCAACCTGACTACTATTCTTTTCAATTTGTTACGTGCCTTATATCGCCGTTGGACATTATGTGATGTTATCGACTGGAGTCAAAGTTGCGGTTTATCTATCGATCTCTCATATGGCTTCAAAGACGGAGTGAAATTAATCACAGGCCCTAAGCCGCCTGGGGTTTGAGCAGCGGCGAAGGAGATCTTGTCAAGCGCACTGGGTATATTTATATTATGGAAAGACCCACTTCCACTTTCCTACCGTACTACACGAGGGGAGGAAACTTAATAAATAGCGTAGATAAGGAAGTGGCTATTCTTTTTCATGACTCCGCTCGAATAAGCTCTTTGCGCAAGAAAGGGATATGAGATAGATGCCAACAATCGGTATAAAAAGATAGAGTAACTTACTGGTACCCCTGTCACTCTTGTTTTGATGCTTAAATCAAGGCCTTTCGAAAAAAGAAAGAGGTCTGATGTGTCACTAGCCGAGTTAGAGGGCTAACCTAACCTTCAATAGACTCTTTCTGCAAGAAAATGACATAATTCTAATAAGGAAAATGCATCGAATGCTCTTGTTACAGAATAGGCAGCTGTGAGGGGAGGTTTGGATTGGACAATAAGGGCTTTGCGCCTTAGACGGTCTTTCTCTTTGTGCAAATCCAGTGTCGAAGGCCCAGTGAATCAAGCAATTGAATCCGAATCGGTGAGAATCTGCTCCACATTCATGCCCAGAATCGTTAGCTACTGGCTTGACCGAAGGTTGAGCTACTTGTTTACTTACTTGCTCGTTAGAGGGGGAGGCTAAAGCAGTCTCTGCACTGGGATTAGCTCTATTATGGGAGTTTACTTGCTTGAAAAGGTGCGAACGAAGAGAGCTAGTCAGGAGTAGAACAGAAGCATGAGTTGAGTGGTGAGCAGGGTAGCGAAACTAGGAACGGAGTTGGCTTGTTAGAGCTAGGCTGTTGAGTTAAAGTAAGCGAGCTAGTCATACGAGCCAGTGAGTCTGCTAACTTGTTATAGATTTATTGGGCACGTGCCTCCTTCCTTCTTCTTTGAAGCTTTTGAGCAGGTCGATCGCGAGCTCTTGATATGGTAAACTGGAGTGAAACGTTAGAGACTGAGGGCTAAAGATGTCGTTGGAACGCTTTAACAAGGC